GCCTCGACTACCATCATCCTCGAATGACACTAGAACCTCTCATCTTACCGGACCATCAAGCTACTACTAAACGATTCATCCTCAAACATCCTTAAGGTAACACCATCTTAACAAGAGAATAAGCATCACTTTTGATACTCCCCCACAACCCACTATTTACCATTAGAGAAGAACCTCCATACATCAATGCCATGCCGAAAAATCCTCAAAACAAAAATGAGCATAAAAATCCAGAATGTTCAACACTCAACTATCTCCTCAAAACCATCTACAATGCAATCAATCACCAATGCTTAGGCGGCCACCCTAACCACTCTTTTTAAGACAATATACATGCCTTAACAAGAAAGCTTCACACCCCAAGTTCAACGTCACTACTTCCCCTCTTCCCTGTTCCTCAAAACCCCCTTGGCCCCAACAAAAGTTAAATGAGGCTACCAACTAGACCTACGAAATCACCTTCGTCTCAATCATTCTAATCATTAGTCTGTGTCTTCAAATCCTCAAACAACAAGTACTATCTCCTGATCCTCCAGACGTAATCTGAAATACAACCCTAATCCACAGCTTTCAAATTCTAAAACATAATTCATTTGATAACACAATACTCACCAGCTATTACTTCATCTATAAACAACTAAACACTTCAATGACCCCAGACTACCTGCCTTATCGTGCAATCCTGCACCAAACCACTAAAACTAACCACTATACTCCACCTCGAGACTCTCTAGACATCTGTGCCAACCCAGAACCCCGCTCATCGACCGAGCCATGCAATCGACCCACCGAGAGTAGATTACCCATAGCACACTCTCGCAACTTTTCAAAATGGAAAATCACCCCTCAACCAGCCGTAACCAACACACTTTCTTAAACCACACCAGAACACCCGTAATACACATCTATAACCCATAGACTAAATTCGTGACTCAAACAACTTCTGTCACACCTACCACGATCAGTTCGAAAAGAACCTCTGCACCAAACTGTGACCTAAGTCACAAACACTAACCTCCTAAGGTCATACATTTCTCCCTCGAAACCCTCACTCGTACACCTGACCTCCACGATCACAGGAACCCATCCACTGATGCATGAAACTCATACATAACAAAGATACCATGCCATGAAATATGAACCCGTTCTAAAGTCGTGCCCTAAGCACTGGGCAAAATGTAACAAGAAAAATCAGGATGACTACACACTGAATAGCTCAATCCACGAACTAGAAGTCCACGCCATTCGTTCGATAAAAACCGGCACCCCAAACAACCCTGGAGCAATCGAGCTCCTCGCCTACTTAGGTCAAAACCCACACAACTATTCATGCTCAACCGCATACTCCTATATATATATATATATATATATAATAACCGTATCCCATACCATGATACAATCATATCCCATCATTTATTTATTTATTTATTTTAAACACCCCATCTTTCATTTTTTTTTAAAAAAAATACTTGCATAACCATGCCTAGTAACCATCACAATACCATACGAGACATGCTTGCACCTACCGTGCTCACTACTTGCCACATTATCATTTAAAATAAAATTGCACACACACTGTGCCTACTACTTGCCGTTACCACCTAAATCACACTTATCATCATATCAAAATTTATATGTTTTCAATTATTTATACATTTCATCGTCATGGCCATATAACACATTTTAGCAATTAAACATTTAAGCATGTGAAAACTTAGCAACTAAGCATGCCTTTTAAAACCGTAAACACATAAGCAATTAAGCAAGTAAACATGCTTCTCAGGTAACAAACACTTTAACACATAAGCACATAAACAATGCAATCCACCTTCAATACAACCCTAGGTAGGCCTTTACCCGTCATCCTACTGGTTTTCGAATCATGGCTCTGATACCAAATTTGTAACGACCCAAGAGATAGCAAAATAAAATAGATCTCTAAGCTCGTCTAAAATTGTGGTGGATCGTCGTCTGCCAACTCTTTTCTGTATCCTGAAAAATGTTAAAAATAATGGGATGAGCATAAACTCAGTAGGAAGTGTCTAAGACACACTTCTTATATCCCTGTGAATCCATACAATGAATAGATAAAAAGTGAACGGGATCATGCCATAGGGAAACGCACATTCTCAACCACCACAACAAGTATGTTGCAAATATCAACCAATCACAAGTTTGCCACAATGTCATGAAGTGCAATATTATGCAAATGTCACTCCCCATTTTTCAAAGCATTTCCGTTTCAACTTCTAAACCGTTAGTGTAATCCGACCCAAGGCACCTCTAAGGCGTCACGAATGGAGGATTGACTAACTATCCACGACCACAAGGCACCTCCAAGGCGTCGCATCCGGCCTAGTTAGCTCAACCATACTCCCTTCTAGACTACACTAACAACACGGACCGTTAGGCGCCTCCTAGGCATCCGGTTTTCGCGAACTCCTTTGAAAAATATTTTTTTTCCAAGAACAAATTCATTTATTTTAAAAGATTTTTCCCCATCTTTTTTTCCCAATGGATGCATGAATACTTCATGCTTCATTTCATCATTTCAACCATAAAGTTCCCACATACTTTTTCAAATAAATTAATAAATTACTAAAAATACACAACTCATATTCTCATTCCACATTTTGCTAACAATTTAAATATACAATTCACAAATTTATTTCACATAAGCATGTTTAAACACAATATAATCAATTAACACCTTGTCTTAATTTCATATATGGCATTTAAACAATTTTCAGGAACTTTTGTTAATTAAGCATACAATTGAATAATTTAGAAGAAATAGATTCACAAAAGTACAAGAAGACCATGAATTAGAGACTCCTACCTTGAAACAAAAAATTTCCTCACTAGATCATCAAAGCCTGAAGCTCCCGGCCTCCTCTGCAAACTCTCAGCTCCTCTCTTTTCTCAAACTCTCTATATCTCTATTTTTTTTTTTTTTTTTTTTTCTCTCTCTTCTCACTCTCTCTCTCTCTCTCTCATTTTTCCTTCTGTTTCTTATCTGTATCATCTCACCAAAGTCACAAATATATAGAGAAGTCCGCCAACCCAATTCTATACACCACTGCTGCTATTTGATCAAATATCTTCTTCTAAGACCCACATCATCATTACTCATACCTTACTTTTTTGAATCTCATTTGATTTCTTACTTTACCGAAAAAAAAGTAATAAAACTATAATAAAATCTACACCACCAGTATAACATAGTCAAAAGTAATGAAAAGGCAAACCATCGTTACTTATTTACTTCCTTATCTTTTTCTTCTATCAGTACCTAACAATCAAATATCACTCCAACACACCATGATACCAAGCCCACGTGAAGAAATAAAAAAATACAAGGATTTGGCCAAACAACTCCTTGGTGGGACCTGAAATCAACCATCTCAATTTCGGCACCTGCTGCTAGGGCTGTAACTTGGGCGGGCTAACCCAATCCAAACCAAGTCCAACCCAGAAATTTTGAAATTGGGGCTTATATTCACAAATCGGGTTCATGTTCGGGTTAGGTTTTGTCAAAACCCAGACATATTTGGGTGGGGCTCAGGCTAAACCCGAACCCAACCCAAAACCTAAAATTTAAATTTTTTTTTCCTCCTTTCTCTCTCCTCTCTCTTCTCTCTCTCTCTCTCTCTCTAACCTAACCCTTCTCTGCAAACCCATTTTCTCTAACCTAACCCTTCTCTTTCTTCTTTCTATTTCTCTCTCTCTAACCTAACTTCTATGCAGACCCATTTTCTCTAACCAAACCCTTCTCTCTAACCTAACCCTTCTCTGCAATCCTAAAACGAATGGCAAAGCTTGAGAGTTGAGAGACAGCGGCTGAAGCTTGCGAATGGCGAACCCAAACTGGAACAGCGGCGATGAAAACTGAAAGAAATGGGTTTTGATTTTTTGAACAATCTGAAATGATATGCCGATATGGTTTTGATATAGGTAATAGGTTTTGACTTTTGATTCTTGCATACAGATGGATAAACTGAAATATATGGGTTTTGAACTTCTGATTCTTGTTGATCTTGTAGTTGCAATTGCACAGAGATAGGGAGGGGGCAATTTCAGAGTTGAGATTCGAGAATGAGAATAGAGATGGAGGCGATTAAGAAAGTTGAAATGAATTGCCCTAAAAATTTATATATTTTTAATAATAATATAATCAAATATATATATATATATATAATTTTCTAGGAGAAAAAATATTATATTAAAAAAAATGTCAACCCGTCAACCCAACCCAAACCACCTGAAAATATTCGAACCGAATTATGACCACAACCCATGTTGGGTACAATTCGGGCTGCCCAACCCAACCCTATTCGAGTTGAGGTTAGGTTGGGGCTGGACTGGAATGGGCTAACCCAACTTGTAGCCCTACCTGGTGCCTTCCATTTCCTACCTCCATCATAAATTCAATACATATATAAATATATATATTATATAACAAAACTAAATCAAAATTCAAATCCCACTAACTTTAATAAATAATTAATTAATTTAGACAGTCTAAAAATCATAAAATAATTAAATTAAAATCTTAAAAATTCGAGTCATCACAAATATGTCAATCAAAATAAACGAGAATAATTTTCTCATATGAATATGTCAATCTATATATCCTGTTTTGTGTACCAAGCACCATCCGTATACATCTACGATCTATTATGAACTCTAAACTGAAGTTATGGTTGGTGGCTGACACCTTGCATTTAGGATTAAAAAAAAATTAATACAAATTTTAAACTAAACTTCCTTCAATCCCAAATTCAATCCCCAAATTCATGGTACCCAAATTCAACCCACCGATTCGATGCTCCTAAATATAACATATGAAAACTCTAAACCCTAAATTCCCTAAATTCATAATATTTTAAAAAATCATTACTTAAATACTAGTGGAGAAATATCTTCAAATGAATATGAATTAGACACTTTTGATAAGCCCACACAAGAGAATTTACAAACATAGGTTACTGCGAAAAGGGTGGCAAATAGAAGAAAATTAAAGTCCATCATCATAATGGCAGAAAAATTGGCATATTAATAACAGATTGTCATAGCTTGCACATAATCTACACAAAATAAAAAATAAAAAGGAGAAAAAAAAAAATTTAATCATATTAACACCATCAAGTCATTTCACTAAAAATTGGAGAAAACAACTACCCTTATCCTTCTAGTCTCAAATAAGGCCCACCAATTAAACCAGTCAGTCAGCCCCTCCCTTCTCCACCCTTTGTCTCAACAATGAGAGACAATTTAATATAAATGAGAGGCAACAAAACCACCTCCACAAAGAACACACATTTACATAAATTCCTTTTCTTTCTTTCTTTTTCTGGTAAACTATATCCCAACACTACAATTCCTGGCATTTTCTTTGTTACTATGAAACAATACACTTTCATATCATCTGAACCTCAAAATCAATCTCATCGACTGTTTCGGAAGAAGTTGAAATCCCAACGCCGGGCTAAACCATCCAGGATGTTATTTGTTGGGTTCTTTACAACAGTTAGAGTCGCTTTCGTGTGATCGTCCAAATCGGTGTCTGAAGCACTTTGCATCCCAACTGAAGTATCACTATGAACAGAAGCACCTGTGCTTCCTGATTCAACAAATGATGGAATGGTACCAGGTGCAGGTCTGACCGATTCAGGAGACTGTTGGGATGCCAAATCAGGGTTGCCTGATGGTACAGTGGTGCTTTCTATCTTTGCAGGCATTTTATGTTCTGTGAGGGAGGAATTTTCACTGTTTTCTTTCTGCGAAGGCTTGGTTGTATCATTGCTAGTGCTGGATGGCTGTTCTTCGACACTAGGGTGTCTCATCTCCAAGTCTTTTAATGACTCTATTACTGCTTCCATGAACATCTGAAATGTTTGAGCAACCAAAAGGTCAAGACAAAATGAGTTCAATGGATGGTTTACATCATCATTAATCTAGTAGATACATCCAATAGGCTGAGAAAACAGTTAATACAACTAACCCTTTCTTCTTCCTCCATATTGCATGGGACATCTGCCAAATTATCTAATGGATATTCTACATAATCATCATCATCTATTGAGGTTGGAACATGAGGGCCAAAGGGATGACCATTAGAAAATTCAAAGCTAATCATTTTAGAAGATGATGTGATAGGCTTAGCTCCAGATTCTTCTTCCTGCAATACAATATGAATTATATTAATGATTTTTTATTGTTTTGTTTTCTGTTTTTCCCCTGATATTTTGTTTTATTTTGAATTTTTCCCTTTTAGCAAGTAAACTAGTAAGTGACAACTGGCAATAAACAAATCAAGTAAAATTACATCGAGCCACATCTTTGCCTAATGCTAGTGTTACTTCTCACTAGAAACCCTGAAGTTTCAAGTCATTAATAGACTCCTTTACTTTTAAAAGTCAAAGGAGAAGTTTCATCTTCTTTACTTTCTGGAAAGTATTGACAAAATAAATGGGATTCTAGCGGGAAGTAACACTAGCATTGGTCTATCAACATAATGACAGAAAACATCAGGATTGACACAATAAATGGGCTATAAACCACTTAGGGTCATAAACCACTTAGGAGGTCCACAGACTAAAGTGCTTAATAGATAAGCTAGTGAGCATTGTCATTTTGTCTACTTCCACATACAAAGTTTCATCTTCTTTACTTTCTGGAAAGAATATATATATTGATAAGTTACTTTCTGGAAAGCATTTCAGGTCTAGTATCAAGTACATGCAATTTTACATTCACTATACCAACATTTTTGGAGAAAGGGAAGGGGGATTTATTTCTGGAGAGCTCTGAAAAAAAGTCTTCACCAAAATAACAACGAATAAGAAAAAGGAAAAAAATAAGAAGATAACCTTGGATTCAGATTGTTTGTCTTTGGATGAGATATCAGAAGGAACCTGAAAATGTTCAAGAAGAGAATCAGCAAAATGTAATTGAATATAATATAGTTGATGCACAACCAACATTTATGTGTCCTAATGTTTTTCTTTTCTTTTGGCAACCCTGTTCATACAGGATAATGGCAACGATGATCATGTTTTTCTTTTCTTTTTCTCTCAAGGGATTTTGGGAGTTGAAGAGGGAGATAGTGTTAAATCAAACTGATTTTGTCCATGAAGTGGAGCAAATATATGCAATTTTTTATCATTGAAATTTCACCTGTATTTCCTTCCCCAATTAATAAGAGCCTTGCAATGCCATTGCACTATGTTGAACATTATTTGTCTAAATTAAAAATGGCCTCCAACCTTCTGTATCTAAATGTTACTTCAACACTTAATAATTGGCAAACCATACCGACCTCTGTTCGACTCATAGGTCTTTTGGAGCGAAGCTGATTAATGGCATCTTCTGTGCTGTTTGCTGTGGGATCTGCAATTAATGATCATCAATATAAGAAGACGAGCCTTCCAGACAAGGGGATGAAGGGAACTAGCATTTGAAACTTAGAGACACAAAGTATTTGACTCATGCCTGTGGGTGCAGCCAAAATAACATGGTCTGCACTTCCTCCTTCATGCATGGCACTCCAATTACCCTGAAGTTTGAACAGCCAACCATAGTTTATGGGTTGTGGATCTGAAATCTGGTAGTTGCAATAAAGAGATGCATTCCACATTCATTTACCTTGCGAAAATAATCATGCGTTGTCTCAAAAAATGTTTCTCCCACTTCATCTTCTGGAGGTTGTAGAACATTGTGAAAAAATATGTTTATAGAATCAAAATAGAATTGTGGGCGGGGAGAATTATGATCTCCCTCAAATTTGATGATATTCTTGTCCCCCTGCCAAAATCAGGCATTAATATACAAGCACAGCATGGTATAAGGTTAGTTGAATAAGAAAACAATCAGTTGAATAAACAACTACATGATAATTCTAGATGCCTAATCCTTTACAACATATTAAAATTCGCACCTACCAATTATTATCAATGATCCTGGTCATATTGATTGTTTAAAAATAAGAAAGATCAGATTATATATAACATCTGAAAGTGTCAAAGTATATATCAACCATCATCATCATCATTGCCTTAATCCCATATGAATGGGGTCGGCCAAATGAATTCTGTGTGTAGTCTTTTCTATTACACGCCATTCCACCTACTATGTCTAACTTTTTTAAGTCATTTTTAATAACCACATACCATGTTATTTTTTGTTGCCCTCTACATCTCTTACCTTCTATGACAAATAGTCGTCCTTGTTTTACAGTCGCATCTATAGGTCTCCGATGTATGTGTCCAAACCATCTAAGTCTACTCTCTCTTGTTTTCTCGCTAATGGGTGTCACACCTAATTTCTTCTTAACGCTCTCATTTGTGACCCTCTCTCCTAGTCACTCCAAACATCCGTCTTAGCATTCTCATTTCTGATAACTTGAAGGTGTCATTCTTGTTTCTTTTTTAGAGCCCAACACTCTGCTCCATATAACATAATTGGTTTAATAACGGTCCTATATAATTTCCCTGTGTCTCTTTCCGATAAGAAAGCATGAGAGAAGAGAGGTGGAAAGACGGGGAACGTATGCAGAAAAAATGAACTCTCCAGGGGATAGCAATTTGTTTGGTAAGACGAAGAAATCACAGAGCCAAAGAACAAAATACAACAATTAAATTGAAGCTGGAGATCCACAGCTATAACAGTAATGGCAACAAGAAGCAGCAGATACAATGCTCAACAAAACATCTCCACAATAAGAAAATATAAGGACGAACTCTTCTTTTCTAGTAAAATGGAGGGGCTTCTAGACCACAACAGTGACAATAGCAGCATGATCAGCATAATCTAGTTTTGTCTTGTTCTTTAGCATTCATTTTTATAGATTTTAAAAGTCAACACAGCATAGGGTAGCAAAGCAACATGTGAGGGCATCTGGAAATGCAATTACAATAAGATAATTGTGTATTGACTAGTCTCAAGCTTATTCTATTTATATATATATATATATATATATATATATATATATATATATATATTATTAATAGAAACTGTGTTAGAAAAGTAAGAAAATGGGCCAAGGCAATGCCCATTGTATAAAAGGTAAACAGACAAGCAATAGCAGGTTAAGAGGTAGGAAGCAACAAGATGGTAGCACATGTAGACATCTAGCTCTGACTAAGTCAGAGAATACATTGAGAATCAATTTGACGGCAACAGAGAAGGGGAAAGAACATGGGGTCAAAGAAAAAAACAGAAGAGATGATGAGCGGACCAAGTTGGAGCCTAAATAAAGTAAACTCTGAATCAGACAAGCACATGTTGACTCAATCGAACAATAAGATCAATAAAATATATTGAAAGGTTTAGTATTGAACCAGCTCAACCATAGTAAAACTTCACAATGCTTTCTTTCAATAACATTTCTGCATTTAGAAAGACTTCGTGACAAGTATAAGCCTCACTTTTACTTGCCTGGAACTTTTGATTATGGACATTGTCTTCTCTTCTTCTTTTTTCGGTTCTTTTTATTTTTTTATTTTTATTGTTGGTCAAGTAAGTACTCACACACATTTCCCAAAATGCCCACTATGGGACTCGAACCCCTCAGCTCCCCTTTGAGGGAGGAGAATTATACCATTGGACTAATGGCCCATTGGTGACTATGGGCATTGTTTCTGATGAAAATTAATTTGATTTGATCATGGAAGGAGAAAATCAGGAATACATGCAATGCATAAAATGGCAGTATTAATTAACAATATACAAAATTAAAGTGGTAGAAGAGATGCAATATTAAAACATGATGCATGCATGCAGACAAGTAAACCAAATCCTTGCAAATTCTGCCATTAACAGCAAAGAGATGTACCACATAAGCGTCAAATATACGATCTGAGTGATGTGGTTGTATAAAATCGTCATCAACGGCGTGTCCGAATAAAACTGGAACGAAGCAAGTCTTTGCCACCTATAAAAGAGAGAATGGGAACCACTCTCATGAATGATAGTGAACAATAATAATAGAATTACTAACCATGAAAAATTGAATCATTATTTTTTCATAGGTTGATGAATAAGTATAATATTATTTTGTATTTTCTAATTGATGTATCAGGACTAATCACTTTATATCTACCAAATCAATTTCTTTACTTGATACCTACTTATAAAGATCAGATGTTCCACAGAGACAAAACCACAAGAGAATAACACCTCACTGCATTTTACCAAGTTGCATACTAAATCATGCCACCACAAATTAATTAATTAATTTATACCCCAACCACCAAACACAACCCCACACCCCCCCATCCCCCCCCCCCCCCCCCCCCCCCCGCCGCCCCCCGGGGGGGCGGCCCACAAACCAAAAACAAGAAGCAGGAATTGTTTGCACCCAAGAAGAATCAAACCTCAGATGCTTCTTGAGGCACCAGGGCCAAGTGACTTACCCACTTGAGCTAACCCTTGGGGTTAATTAATTTCTTCCCGTTGCACATCTAGTTAACATGGGAAGCACTCCAGGAAAAGTTGAGCATTACTCTGATTTATTTTTCAAATCTGATTTACTGACTTTTAATACAATTCTCTATGTTAGTCTGGTATCGTGATCATGATGCCAGTATTCACAAACAAAAAGGTCTCAAAAGATATCCTCTGGCAACTTACATAGGCAAACTCATAGAAACTATGGATAATTACACTTACCTCCCCTCTAAATAGGGAAAAATACACCATGTTCCCATGTTTTTGGAAATCTCAACTACACCCCTCTAGTTAACACCTTTGTAACAAATCGAACCTTGCCGTCAGTCTCAATACCGGTCAAACGTAGGCAACGCTGATGTCATCAAAATTCAAGCTGAAAATGGCATTCTGCCCTTGAAATGTCTGGAGTAGGAAGCTAGATTTCAGGTGGATAGGTGACACTTTTATCCTCTCACTAACTCCCAATTTTCTTTTCCATGCCCCCTCTATCTACAACTCTCTCTCTCTCTCTATGTATTGTATACTATGTATCTGCATACACACCAAAACTACTTTTTGCTCACTGCAATTCAAACATGACATAAGAAAAAAATCAATGACTTTATAAACAGTTTTCATTATAATATAAACACTTGTATCACTATGACTGAATTAACATTGCGTTCATACACAACTGTTTCAGCTCAAGAGAAAGACAGACCCACAAATTCAATTGGCAACAGAAGATCAAATCAAAGCGTCTCCCCTGTTAACTCTTTCAACCTTCCTCTCTCTCTCTCTATATATAATCCCTCTGGTTTTTGTGGTTGCAATTTTTCATCGGCGATTCAATGCATATAGAAACACTAAGTCCTCCCTCCTCTCTGTCTCTGAAATTTCTCTCTTTAGATTCTTCAAAAAACTGAATTTGGATCTTGTTTATAAACTGTTTGTTTTCCACATGGATCATACTATGTACATAGATATGTATGTACATACACATGTAGAAGCTATATCAATTACCCAAAACACTTCAAAGAATTGAAAAATTGAACGGAGATGCTTCTAAGAAGAAAAAACAACAGGAAAATGACATTGCTAGTTGGGTTTTGACCAAAAAAGAAAAGAAAAGAAAAGAGAAACAACAATACAGTATACACACACTCTTACATATATAGTAAATATATACTATGATTTGAATTTAAAACTACTTTTTTTTACTAAGGTTAATATGGTAAATAGCATACTCAATTAATGGACATTATCATCCATCACTTAAAAGGGGGAGTGAAACTTTACAAAATTATTATTAATTTTATTTTGATAAGTAAAGTTGATTTAAGAAGTGTCAAAAACGTAACGCATCCTTCAAAAACTACACGAGGCCAAATAAGCACTACTCTCAATCTGACAATGTCTCACAAGGTTTAGCTTGAATATGAACTGCTTCAAAGGATGACCTGACAGGTGATTCCTGCCTCAGAATAAGCAAAGAATGAATATATATATATATATATATGTGTGTGTGTGTGTGTGTGTGTGTGTGTGTGTGTGTGTCTGTTTTAATTAAAATCAAGACATGATCAGGAGCCAACCTGAAATAGATCAATAAAGTTCCAATGACGATAATGATACCTATCCAAATATTTTTTTAATAAATGACATGAGCAATTGAGCCGACACAAAACTGTTTATTTTCTTGTATGAAATTTGTCTCCCAGCACCTCAATTGTTCAGGAAAAACATTTCAATAACCAAGCATGGTTCAAACCAGAACGCCACATGATGGAAAGCCAAGGCCATCTTTTTTTCACCATCAGATTTCACGAGTGCATTTTTCTTCTCTAATTCTTGCCAAATCTTTTAGTAGTTTACTGGTAAAGCTAATCCGCCAAATTCAACAGTGTTGTACACAGTCCCTCTTTCACACAGCTGACCGTGGATATACAGCCAGCATAAGACCTTTAAGTCACACCTACTAATATTTACCTTGGGAACTACAAACCACATTGAGGAAGCAAAATATAATATATATATATATGACCCCAAAAAGAGCTGGACAACCAGAAAGGATTTATGTAACTGATGCGATGAAGTTGGGATATCTCTGTGTTGGTTGAGTTGCTGAAGCTAATCCAGAAAAAGGCTAGAGTGCCCAAATTTTGAGAAATTATAAGCACTATTTGCTTACAGTTATGAACTATTTACTCAGTCTTATATTTTTAAATGATATTCTGACAGCTCAATAGTATCACTTAAGTTACTAGAACTACTTGATGTAATCAGCACATTCAGATTTAGATAACACAATTCAAATGGACTGAAGAGTAGTTGTAACTTTCTTCCCCATTATTTTAAACTGTGTTTTAAATTGACTTACTCAGAAGAAATACTTACTTTAGTTTAACCAAATTACCAAAGACAAAGAAACAAGTTGTTTATAATCAATGAAGACAACTATAGAAATGGTTCAATAAAAGATAATTACAATGTAAGGCTCCCATAAGAAAATTCATAATGAGATGATCATAAATAAAAGTCATAAATTCTTGAATGGATCATATCGAGTTATTGGCCACAGAATTAAATTATATATATATATATATATATATATATATATATATATATATGTATATATATTTTATAATATATAGGATTGTTATGGTGTGGAGATGTAGCTTTGGAGAGTAGATTCCCTTGTTTATTTAGGATTGTTGCGAATAAGTACGCTATGGTTGCAGACTATTATCGGCTTGATAATGGGAGAGTAACTTGGGATGTGTTATTCCGCAGATGTTTTAATGACTGGGAGCTATTAGAGATTACAGATTTTTTGGGTTTATTGTATAAGCAAGTAGCGGAGTGGGAGGGCAGCGATGCAATGGTGTGGCAGGATGGATCCAAGGGGGTGTTTGAGGTAAGGTTATTTTATAGAAGCCTCACGGAGTCCGTCCGCACGGTTTTTCCTTGGAAAGCTGTTTGGAGGACTTCAGCACCAGTTAAGGTGGCCATTTTTACTTGGACGGCGTCTCTTGGAAGTATTCTTACTCTGGATAATCTAAGGAGAAGACACCAGATTGCAATTAATTGGTGCTTTATGTGCAAAAATACAGGGGAATCTGTAAATCATCTTTTGTTGCATTGTACCGTTGCATTGGATCTGGGCTATGTTCTTGGCTTTATTTGGTGTGGATTGGGTTATTTCCAAAGACACAAGGGGAATGCTAGAGGCTTGGCGAGGGCAGCGAGTGGCCAGGAGATCGAGAGATGCTTGGAGGGTAACCCCGCTCTGTTTATGGTGGGGTTTGTGGCGTGAGAGTAATAGGAGAGCTTTTGACGGAGTGGAGTCTTCTATTTGGGAGATTAAATCAAACATTTTACACACACTTCATTTTTGGGTGATTGGGAGAAGTTGTTCATCTACGGATTCTCTAACGGATTTTTTGGACAACCTCTCTTTGTAATGCAGCTTTTGTTCACTTTTGTTTTTGTTGTAAAGGGTTCGCTCCCTTTTTTCATCTGAGCGTTTCTTTTAATGTTATTGCTTTTAATTACCTATCAAAAAAATATATATTTTATAATGCAGAATAAAAAACAAAAATAAAAAACTCTTCCATAATCAGTGGCAGAATAAACCTTAATGGCATTCAGGTCCATTATGTCAAATTTTGCCTTCTTTGTAATAGCTCTCCGCATGTATTGGATTGCAAACTTCACCTAAATGAGGAAAACATAGAAAAACTGAGAATTTTATTTATTAGAGAGAGAAACTTTTACATTCTGCCAAGTATGACTAGTTTTTGCTTCTTAATGGTGAAAGAATAACAAAGCTTCCATGAACAAATTTACTTACAGTGAACTTGGGCAGACGGATTTTGTAGGTATCCACAAGTTCCATCATCAAATCAACCAAATCGGAGAAAGGGCTGTCAAGAACCATTCCTGCAATTGATGGATCCTCAGCTCCATACAATAGGCTGCAAAGAGCAATGTATTACGTTAATGGCAAATAAACCAGTAGAAAGGTCTCAACCCTTTTTCATCACTATATAAGAATATATCATATCTATTCATTCCAGCTAGACAACAAAGTAACAAGATTTTAAAAAATTATTTAAGAAAATTTAAAAACAGAATTATGAAGTATGTTTGTATGACTGAATGTACCCAGGAAAAATTATTTAACTCAAATAACTATATCGGTTAACAACAAGAAAAGACATGTTTATATTTCTTTTCTATTTTTATAAAGGGGCTTCCTCATACTAGATGGATCAACACATGGAAACTCTAAAAGTAGATCATGTCCAAATAATAATAATAATAATAAAGTTGAAGAATAGTAATCAAAATCAATTTACATTAAGGAGCTATATCAGGTGGACTCGGTTGGCGATGTCGGGTACAAGAGTATGTGTAAGTGTAGCATTCTTCCAATCCTAACATTTGCGACGAGGATATAAGATCAAGTGTCAAAGAGTCCACGAGTGAAGTATTGAGCGTCCTTTAAATAGATAGAGGAAAAGGAGTAAAACTGAAAGGGGAAAAAAAACATAAATGACGTGGGGAAATGTAAAAATGGATAAAATTATTGAATCAACTTTGAAATTACAAGCTAGGGGAAAATTACAATGCCAATTTTCTAAAAGTATAAAAACACAAAGGTCTATGTGAAAAATATGTCAGAATAACTGAATAGGGTAAATACCATCCCTTTATTTTACAGATGAAACCCTAGCTATGTCTGAGGTTGATACTTTATTTTTCTTTCTTTCTTTCTTTCCCCCCTCCCACCCACCACCCCCCCCCCCCCCCCCCCCCCCCCCCCCGCGGCAACATTCTCCCTTTTCTCTCTCTCTTCTTTACTAATTCAAACATGGAGGTATGACAACCATACACGCTATTGTCCCATATTCATATTGTGTCATGTCACTTCAACAAAGGTACCAATGGAGAAAGTGACAAATCCAGATATCATAGTTATGGAGTAAGGTTTTACCATCCTTTAGCTAAGAAACATAGAGAGAAATATATAATAACCTCCATTGGCTAATTAACTTAAGAATAGTAGACCAGATGTCCAACCAGAGGTGTGCAAAGCATATGAGTGTTGTCATTCATATTCATCACCATCATCAGCCTAGCCTAGCCCTGCCTTGGTAGTAATTGAATGAAGTTGGCCAATTCTCTCCTACTCTTTTTTGTTACAAGCTATATCTCCCTGTATATTTAGTTTCTTAAGTTCTTTTCTTATTACTGTTGAACGATTTAAAAATTAAAGTTACACCCTATCTAACAACTTAAGCTTTTAGAGTAGATGATTGTCAACATGGTATCAGAAACAATCCCCAGCCGGAAATTGAGGGAGCATGCCCAATCCCATGGGGGTCAGGCCAGTGAGGATTCTGGGTCACAAGAGGGGGTGATTGTGACGTCGGGGAGAGGTTGTTGACACTTATTATATGTGGATGTCTCCTAACTATGTAGGCGCGTTTTGAAAATTGTGAGTACGGAGTGTGTGGAAAACGGACAATATCTACACATGATGGACAAGTCGTGACAAATGAGATGGTAGCAGAGCAGGTAAGCTCCTATGTCCAAACCCTATGTTACCCAGACCCAGGTACGGGTGTCGGGCATGGGTGCGTGTCTAGAAGTCAGACTCGTCCATCTTTCAAACTATGGGATATGGGGACTCGGCTAAAAAGTCCAAAAGTTGGACACGGACACTTGGACACAATTATAATTAATAAATAGTGATAAAAAGTATAGGTCATTTATCTATTATTTAATAGTAATTAATATTCTTAAATGGAGAGGAGACCATCCGTCCTAGAGTAATTAATATTCTTAAATGGAGAGGAGACCATCTGTCCTACCCAGTTCTTAAAAAATATGAATATATATATATATATATACATACATACATATAAGTCATCTGTTTTTACTCTTTTATTTGGTACGGTAAATTGTCGTTTATGTGACATTTATTTATTTTTATTTGAAAAGTAAGTTGTGGGAGTAAAAAGTAAATATAGAAGTTAAACGGATTAATAAGTAACTCAATAGGTTCACGTGACAAGAATACAGCTAGCAGCAACAAACAGAGTTGGGGACCATTTATTTTATAAGTGTTGTGGGAGTAAAAGGTAAGTCTAAAAATTAAACAGATTAATAAGTAACTCCATAGGTCACGTCATAACTGATAAGAATACAAAGCATGAATACACTCTCCACAAAAAACAGAAATTCTGCAACAGCTGCGAGTGAAGAAACAACCACCTTCAACCTTCCAAAAACCCTATCTTCGAACCAGCTGCCTACATGAACTTACAGAACACATCCGATCTAATAAAGGAAAGAAAGTTCAAATCCGTAGCAAGCATCCACCAATACAGTCTTCTATGAGCATGTCTTCATCAGCTGTGTCCGATGTCGCGAAGGGTTGTCTGACCCATATCCCGAGTCACACGACACGGACACCCTGCGCTAATCTGCCGAGCCCAGGTAACATAGTCCAAACCTCACCATCAGCCTGATAATTAAACTTGAAACACACATTGAAGGATTTAAATATTAAAGTTACACCCTCTCTAACAACTTAAACTTTTAGAGTAGATGGTTTCAACTATTACCTTATTACATCTCTGTTCGATCTGCCCCTTGTCTTTTCTAGTCTATTTTAATTGGTCTTACTTTTTCTTAATAGCACAATTACTGGTGTATATTGTATATTTACAAGGTCCATACCACCTAAATCTACTTTGAATAAATTTCAATACGACAATACATCCAGAGTAAGATTTTTTCTGTCAGGAGCAAAATTTGTGAGTAGCGCTATAGAATATTTTATGTCATCATCAACCAGTCTATCATACATGGAATCCATCACATATGTTGTTTTGCACACCAAGGCATTACACACATTTTTTGGGTTGAAAAACTCTCGTTTTTTGCCTAACTCTTTGAGTTGTTTGCTGTTTATAAGCTTGTCCTACAAATAGCATCCACTTCACTAGCCCATAATCCCATTAACCCATATATCTAGCACAACCGTTGGATTTCACTTGTGCATGTTAGTATCTATAAGAAAAAAATGGAAACCTAACTCTTCTTGGAGATGGCAGCCATGCACAGCCACAGGAGGCCTTTACATCCATGGCAGACCCAATATCGGCACCTTTTCTACCAGCAACTGCTGCGATAATCTTACTCCAACAGCAACTACAAGGTTATTACTCTCTCCCTCTCTCAGCCATGTTTTCACTCTCTCTCATCCATGTTCTCTCTTTCACAACCATGCTCTTTCTTGGTACCATTTTATTTATTTATTTTAAGTAGTTACTACTAATGGAATCATGAGATGATGAAGAATGTAGGCTGATTGTTGATATGGCAGTGATTTCTTGCAATGCCAGCTTGAGCCAAGCTGATTCTGAGATTGTAGAAACACTAGTGAGCCGAGCTCGAGATTGGCTAAGCCAAGCTTGCCTGAGACGAGCCGAGCCTCAACACCCTTTTGACCTCGGCTACAGGGCCAGTTCGATACAATTGGAGGACTAAGACGAAAACTTTAAACGAGGACTCCAACACCACAACCTCCATCTCACTTTTGCCACCTTGTTTTTCTTTTTCTTTTTATTATTTTATTTTATATTTTTCACTTTTTTTTTTTTCTTTTGGTAAGTTCACATTTACCAGTAGACTTATCATACACAGACATTTTTCGTCACTCCCTTCACATATTTGCACAAACTAACACATCAGAACTCTTCCTCTTATTTAGCCAAACACCATTACACTCGAACAATAATTATAGACACTAATTCACAAAAGCCACACGGATATACAAACAATTAACCTAACATAAATCATACACCACACCCACCAAAATTCCATCAACCACTAAGACATTGCATCATATTACACTACTGTAATTTTTTCTTAAAACATTCCTAAGGATAATGATAAATATTTGAAATAATAACAATTAAGGTTTATGAAAGAAATAACTAATTATTTTTTGAATATTAATAATTGCAACTTTATGTTTTCTGTGATTGTAATGGTTTTTTTTTTTTTTTTTTTTTTGGGTCTCAAAATAAAGTTAAATTCAACTCAAATAAAATAAATTGGATAGATTCATACCTTTGTTACTAAGTAAGAAGAACCAACACGAACAGAAAGGGAAAAAAAACCATTATATTATTTTAAAATGATCCACATAAAAAGTGGAGTAAACATCCAATTAGAAAATTTATAATGAGACTCACATAAAAATTGAAAGTTACATGGAAAAAAAAAACTACCAGAAGTAGTATGCCGGGCAAGGACGGACCTATCAAGGGACCAGTGAGGGCGGCCACCCCGGCAGATTTATTTTTTTTCCAAAATTACCTATAATTTTTGTTAAAATCTTTAACATGCCCCCACTCAATTTTAGATAATACCGCGCTATATATTCTGGTTGTTCAAGGCCTCCCACTCTCATACAATTTTCTAGGTACGTCACTAGGGAGGGGGACCTTTCCCCAAACGAGCCCTAGGGAACCGCCTAAGTTGCCTAAGGATTGAGCTGCCCCTGCTTGGCTACCGAGCCTGAACAAGCCAAAGTTCGGCTCAGGTCGGCTCGTTTCATTTGCAGCCTATCCATGCCCTTTGAGACAGCTCGCAATATACAAGTAAAGTTTAATCCGAGGCTTCCAATCCAAAAACACAACTCAGTCTTTCTCTTATCTATGAATTCTGCTGTTCACTTTTGGCTTCCATATAGATTAATACCTCCCAAGACACCTTGCATCAATGAATGAACAAATGGAATTCCTACAAAATACAAAGGAATTCTGTTGGATTTATCTAGTCTTGATATGTTGAGCAGATTCACAGCAATTAGGTCAAATATCTACAGTTACAAGACTCAAGTCAGAAACTTGCCAAACCTTCTAGCAAAGAACTAAGGAACAACATCAACCATGCATTATAACCCCATAAGTTCCCTCCAAAGGATAGCTTGCATGAATTCATTCATTTAAACTAATTATATATAGAAAAGATATGGTATCTAAGGACAGCAAGTTAATGAAGCTAACCTAGTTACAGCACCCATTGAACGGCCCCACAAACCAATTAGAGAAACATTTCCATCTTCTCTCAGATAATCAACCACAGCTCTCAGATCATCCTTCTGAAAAAACATAAAATAATATAAAATATCAGCCAGACATAAATAAAAGAACTTCAACTGCCACAATCCGTGCTTTATTGTATGAAAAATTCTCATGTGAAATTATATACTCAACTATTTAAAATCATGCAGCCCCTTCTATTTAAATAAATAGTTTAAACAGCATGAGAATCTCAGCTACTTGGAGCAAGATTTTCTTGTAGAGAACAAAAAATAAACACCATTGAGCCTCTAAAAGCATTTTACTTAAGATGCCTTTAGAACAACAGTTTAACAATATGGTACGAATGACATGCATATTAAGTATCTTGTAGTGCTTGATATAATAGAGTCAAGATAAAATATACATTTTTATATGTATCCCTTCTCATGTATATTGTATATCAAATTATATAAACCATTTTGTGTATCGTAAAGATATTAACTGTGTAGGTATACTAGGTTAGCATGTCGACCATATGGGTTAAGCCATAACATAATAGTTTTAGCCCTCAAAGAATGTATTTAACCAGAACTCATTAAAGCATTCAACCATCTGATCAACAAACAATTATACCAAAAGATTAAGTTGGGACATTATGCACAATATTCTTCTATTTTTAGAAAATAAGTATTTAATTACTCAGACACTCACTTCGTTCCACCCTAGTGTAACATGTTCCCCACCAGAGAGTCCAGATCCTGAAAAATCAACGGTGAAAACAGTAATGTTTGAAGGCAATAATATTATTGCAGCTTCACTGGCGTCTGCCCTGCACCCACTGCATTAAATCAAGATTAATGGCTTGTTAGAAAACACTGTTGATGATATAGAAGAAGTGTGAATGCATATAAAGTTACTGGCTTAGGATTCATGCGATCTGCATGTGGAGGTGAATATAGCTTTAATATCCAATCATGGAGAAATATAGAAATAGTAAACTTGTAATCACTTGTCACTGGTTCAGAGGAAGTGTGGCCAAGCAAATGTCTATATTTGGAAACACTACATGCACATGATGTTTCTTTAAAATAATTTTATGTGATGGAATTCGTAAAAACTAGTCAAGACCCAGGATGAACAAAGGGATGGCCACCAAGATATAGCAGCCACAAATGTAATGAATAGAGCAATCCAAAAGCATGGTATTAAGGAGAAAAATAGTGTAAGAATACTATTTCGTCCCTCAATCGAGGGTCTTACTTCCTTAATTTGTCTTTGTGGCAATGTGCATCCATTACCAAAAGTCAAAGCATTGTAGACTACCCCAGACTACACTTGTAAAATACAAATTAATCAAGGAATATGAGTTGTCACAACACAGCTATGGATCATGAATTTTTTTTCTGTCACACAACTCCCTCTAGTGGTGGGGATGCACCTGTTTTGACCACAAAATCCCATAAATTAATATTATATACTGATTTTAAGCGTTTGACATTCGACTTACAAAAATGAATTGTAATAAGAATCATTTTATATTAATAATTCAATCTCTAACAGTGGATATTTTTATCTCCTCCCTTGAGATTTAAATATTGCCATAGGCAAAATAATTTAAAGAAAATATACTATAATGAAATGAAAATGTGAAAATTACACTGACCTCCCCTCTAGTTAGTCAATATTACACACAATATAGTCTTTATGGGCTTTTAATTGAAAAACATGACAATAGAGATGAAATGGATAAATATGTGTGTGTGTGTGTGTGTGTAGAGAAAATGTGAGTAGTTCGCTTTCCTCCTCTATTCTCCACAGCCAAGAAACCGCCTCGGCTCCCTCTCTCTGTTCCCATCAAGGCCTGATTTAGCCTCCTCCTCCATTGTCTGTACTCTCTCTCGTTCAACTCCACCGTGATATTTTAAAAATCGATCTCAAGTCTTTCATGTGTTTAAAATCTTTTTTATGCTGAGATAACTAATTAGTTGAATGCTAAATTACATATTCTTCAATCTGTTAATGCTCTTGAATACAAAAATGGTCTCTTTCAGCAATTTCTTGAGTCTATAGGTGTCACCCATCAAAACTTCTTATGTTGATACTCCCCAACAAAACGGGATTGCTGAAAGAAAGAATGAATCCATTCTGGCTATTGCACGGGCTCTAATGATTCAAATGAATGCACCTAAACATTTCTGGGGGACACACCTCTGTTAGATGAATTTCAAAAATCCCAACCCCTCCCGATGTATTTCCAAAATCCAAACACCCACCTATGTCAGAGCCCTTACCTCCAAAGAACACCACCTGACCCTAGATTACCCAGACTTGCGCTAAATAATCCTCCTCCAAAGATTGTGCCTCTCCACCCTGATACTCCACAACCACTTGTACAACAACGCCTTGTTGAACAAATCCAACCTCCCAACGCCCAGGCCCAGGCCCCACTATAAATAGGCCAACAAACCTGCTCCCACTATGTGTTATGAGATCCTGGAAGTCTTTATATAATGCTTTCAATCTAAAGGAATTAGGGTTTCTTTGTTGTAATCAGACTAGGAAAATCTAAACCTTTATGATTCAGATTTAGAGAAGTTTTTAAAAACTGTCTCTGCACAATTCGATAGATCGACCTACCCAATCGATAGTTAATGGACAAGGCTCAATTGATCAACACTTCAATCAAAAGCCTTAGTATCTCAAAACTTTCAATTCAGACTCAACTTTGATAGATCGAAACTCTCTCAAATTAACTCGATCATTCAACTGAATCTATTTTTGTAAAATATCCTTGTTTAAATATATTTAATCAAAAAACAATTTTATACATTCAAAATATTATTTTCACGAAACAAAGCATGTAAGCAATGTGCCCTAAAATGAATTATGATAAGAATACATGATTATGAAACCATAATTGGTGAATTAGTTATTCAATGGGTGATTTTGACTTTTTCCCTTTGATGTATCTACATAGTCTGATTCTTGGACATAAGTACAACTGCTAAAAAACGAAACTAACTTTAGAAAATCTAATCAAAAGCTAAAAATAAAACTACAGACTCCAACTACTGTTATGAAATTTGCCAACACTAGATTTTAATCGTACATATTTGATTTTTTGAAATCATTTCTTATTACTTCATTCCAAATTAGTTTTGGCCGACTAGTGTATAATATAATAGAAGAGTAAAGTTAGATATTTTCAGTTACCAAGTCCCAAAGGCAACACTATTGTCGCAAGACTAGCCTTAGAGGATCCAAATTGTGAAATAAAGGAGGTTATGTTGGTGGGACCAGAACTGGGTAAGGCCCTTTTACCAACTACCAAGGGCCCCATAGGCTTCACAAGGATTAACGCCATTTTAAACCTTGGTGTAATAACATGTCCTCTATTTATGTAGATAAAAGTAACATCACATGCGTCTTACCTAGGCATAAGCTGCATTCTCATTTTTACTGTTGCAACTTTATTAGAAAGGGTTAAAAGTTAAATATGCACACGAAGATATGTAGCATCCACATGTTCATTCATGCTTAAAAAAATAATAATAATAATAACAGCATTATTTCTCACCAACCATATTACTTCACTGACCTGTTTCCATGGCAGTATATCACGCAGGGCAGAGCCTTTCCATCGGGACTAACAATAGGCATGTAATGACTACATTGAAGAACATCTCCCCGACTGTTTACAACCTACAGAATGTTCAAAACCCTTTAATTCTATTGCTGAAAATTAGTAGGAAATTTCAAGGTTCCAAATATGAAGAAAGAAATCATAGTCCGATAAAGAATGAATCAAAAATTACACTCACGACAATGATATCAGTATAATTACCTCAAAATTAATAAATTAGAGAATTACGAGCAATTTAGATAAACTATGGCAGATTCATTTCTAAATGATAAAGTAGCACTCAAGAAATGAATTATGTTGTAAGTTTTGAAAATAAACATTTACAGCAAATTTTTCTGTAAAGGGAGATAGCCACATATTATGGTTTTCAGAGGGTAAAATATATCCAATAGTTGCAATTTTTTCTTTTATACAGAGCCCTGCCCATTTCTTGCATCATTTCCTTGCCCTAAAAGCAACAGTGCACAATGAAGGATCTCACGAAGCTCCAACAAAATGCACATTAAACTTGAGTAATTGTTGGCCTTGTCTTTGAGCAATGTCCCACGTGTGTAGGCTTGCACGAAGCATGAGAATGATCTTCTTAAAATCCTCTCCAAACATGTCAATATTTAGAATTTCCATGCAAGCTACTCCCCCAATTTAAAATACCTCATTGATTATATGCTGCATTAGGTTCCAGAATGGAACTAGTCTACCATTTTAAGATAATATACTGCTTATAACTGAGAGGGTATTCATAAAAAACTCTCAAGTCTTTAACAAAGAATTAATATGCCAAAAATGATTTTTACAATTTTGGATTGCTACCAAATAAGTCAAAAACCAAATTTGACCTTTCAAAACACGAACTCGCTGTTATTCCTACTGAAAGAGTACATTAACTTCATTTTTTTTAACAGAATAAGTAACTCAGAAACCAAGATTTAAAATCTGTTTTACCTTGTTACTGGCAGTGGGTTTCTGTTATCTGCCATAAGACAGCACAATAAAACCAAATGGTATAATTGCTGGTACAGATTTTTTTATAAGTTAATTGCTGGTAGAGTTTGTTCATTTGTTAATGCAAATAATTAAGTTGGTTAGGGACCATAAAATCAACAGTAAATACCATTATACTGTTTTTAGCAAGTTCAACAATATCTTAAAATTACAATAATTGACCAACTATATAAGATCATCCCAAAAGGAAAGAAACTATATGTTGGAAACCATGCTTGAATTAGTATTAACAAAGCATTGATTTTGGAGGCTTGGAACCTATGAATTTAAAGACCAGAAACGGAATCTACGTATTCACTGATCATGGTTGTGAAGATCCACATCAGGAACGATATAATATATAGTTCTTTTCAGAGAGGATATAGTATAAGGTTCTTAGACATGCAAAGCCATATGAAAGGAACGTACATTTGATCCACATCAGGAACGATACAATATATAGTTCTTTTCAGAGAGGATATAGTATAAGGTTCTTAGACATGCAAAGCCATATCAAACGAATGTACATTTGATGCAACTATACACTTCGTACTTTTATTTTTAACTTCAGCTCCTCTTGGGTTTTTAGGTTACATTGAAATGAAATAATAAAATACATGAGAATCTTGTTTCTTATCTTTTCATTGCTGTTCCTGTTGAAGTGTCAGTTTCTCAATGCATCATAACTTCAACACTAATGTAATTTACATTAGTGTTGCATCAAAACATTAGTTTTTTACAATATATTACTCATATATAAAAGTTAAATCCTTGTATCTTAACTTGCTTCCCTCCAGTTTATGAATATATGAAGCTCCCACACTGCGTTTGGTGGTGCATTTGGAAAGAGAGGAATAGCAGATTTTTCAAAGGAAAGGAGTCGTCCATGGCGACTTTGAAACTTCATATTATTCACTCTATTTTTAGTTACGTGAAGGGGGGGAGTTCGTGTTCTTCCACCGATGACTTAGTAGATCTCTTGGACTCTTTGGGTCCTTAGGTCCTGTGGTCCTTTTTGTATAAGAGACGCGTTCCCCTCTTGAAGGCTTTTTCTATTCTTTTAATTGATTATTACTTATCAAAAAAATAATAATTCATCTTTTACTTCCCCTGATGTTACCCTCAACGTGGATCTCATTACTCTGCTTCTCTAGCTCAATTATTGGTCTTAGTACGCATAGGAAACTATTTTAATAGACTTCCTCACATCTTATCTCAAATAAGTGCTACTTCTTCTGTCACATGAGTGCATTCATTCCTTATCTAATCATACATAACATACAATTTCGGCCATGCTCCAAGTATAAATATAGCATTTCTTTTTCCTGTCTACATTCTACTCCGTAGACAGACTGGTTAAAAAACTACTTTATAGATTTTATCTTTTGCTTTTAAAGAAATAAATTGATAACAAAATATCCAATAATTAATTCTCTAGCTAATACTTCCTGCATTAATTATCAGACACGTGTATTTGAAGTTCGACAACATACTTATAGGTTAACATTTTAAAATCCATAAAATTCAAATTTTATATAATTACGTTAAAAATAGAAAATTGGAAAAACAGAAATTTAAAAAAATAAAATAAAGAAAATGAAAATTAAATATTTGATCATGTTCAAAATATATGACACATATAATATATATATATATATATATATGATTTGCATGACGTATGAATGTAAATGACTTACTCCCTTCCTTCTTTTTTCTTTTTCTTTTTTTTTTTTTTTGATAAGTAAAAATGTGGACCATTTCTGTATTTGTGCATGTCATCCTTGCGCATGGGCCATGTTAATCTTCTCTGTATTGTTCCAATTTTATCGGATGTCCCCGAAGGGCCGTAAATGACTTACTCCCTTTGAAAGAAAAAGTGGAAATATTCGACAAATTAGTTGATCGGGAGATTTGTAGCAAGATTTGAAAATATGTTAAATCCCCTTTCTTGCTTGGGCACTTCAGCTCTTGGGAGATCCGGAATAAAATCAATCTATCCAGGAGAGAATGTTTTGGAAAATTTAGTTGGAACTACTTGGGGATGAAGAGACCACTACTTTGCCTTGTTCAATGAGCTTGCTGGCTTACTACAAATGGTTGGGCCATCCAGTCATCCACCATTGGTAGCGCCAGAGTCAAATCTATATTTACATCACCTTCATCTGGAATGGGGTCACTTCTGCTCATGCTTTGGGAGCCGTTTTATGGCAAGACAACCGAGTGGTCGTGCACCTGACCAAGCTGCCCACTACATTGAGACTCCCCCTCTTTCGAATCCATGATATTTTCCATCAATAGAATGTCATTTGGTCTTGAAAACTCCTATTTTTAAATTCCCAGTATATTTTCTATAGCACAAACCCTTATCTTACAGTAGAAATAAATAAATTTGTTTTCTTCATTCCCATAAAACATACAATATTCTTTTTTTGACAAGTATAAAACATACAATATTCTTCTGAACCTGAACTTGAACTTCATATATATAATTTTTATTCAACATCCTAAATTAACTTTTACACACTTCTTCAATCTCATCATTTTTCACCGAGACCCATGGATCATCACTCTTAATGTCTTCGTATTACTAAAAACTCTAATATTCCCCTCCCTTGATTTAGCAAGAATTTACATATTCTTCTTTCATCCCTTAATACATATTTTAGAAAGAAGAAAATACGAGTGATGATCTTATATTTTACACACTTTCCCCAACTTCCTTTTTACATATGTAATTTTTTAAGCAGTTCTCATTTCTAGTTATTTTTTCAAATTTTGTAAAAAATCCCCTTTACTTTTACTATGGTTTGGACACCTATATCCACCACAAAGTTCACATAGTTAGTGACTCTTTTTCTTTTGATTTTCCAAAAACCAATTTTAATATTTGTTAGGTTAATGGGACCTAGGTTGGAAGATTTGTGATCAAAAGTTGAACTCCATAATTTTTCTTACTTTTATGTTTATTAGAGTGTTTAGTTAGTTAAGCTAGTTAAGCTAGTTGTAGGACATTGCCCAAAGGTAGATCTGGAATTCAAGACATATTCCAGATTTCCAGGGCAGCTAATTATTACTTTTATTGGAATACTTGCCATCTAGGGTTCATGATCATATGCATTCATATATTCTAGATTTTTCTAAAAAAAATAATTTGATTTACAAGAGATTGTGTTAGATTGCATATCTTATGTTTTTGGAACTTCTCTAAATGGTTTTCCTACTCAAAACAAGGACGTAGTGGTATCAATCGAGTGCTACTGCCATGGTGTCGGGTCGATCAACACATGGCTCGATCGGGGCAGACTTTCAGGCCCTGCTTGGATTGGATCTAAGAAAACAATTTTCTGTTTTCATAGTGACAAAAAACAGAAAACTGTATTTTACTTCTGCTTGGATCTATTTTGTGGAAACAGTTTTTGAAAAACTGAAAATGATAGTTACAGATTTTAGAGAACAATAAAAAGGTGTTCTCACAATTCTTGAGTTGCGATTCTCACTTTTTAGGAAACACGGAGAACAGCTCATACTTAAAAAAATCACGTTGAGGGGCATCATTTAAAACATCATCGATTTTTCCATCTGAGTCGTACACTCCTCCTTCTCTATCTTCTCTTTCTATGCGCAGAAGTGCTCTCGGTTTGGATCATCGAAGTAATCCAACCTCATCAAGAAGCTTCTCCCGGTCATTCCTCACTCTCTCTCTAACAGAACATAACTCAGCTTTCTCTCCAGATTTCTTCGTCGATTAGATCTCATCTTCTCTGGATTTCTCGCTGGTGTTGGGCTAGCGATCGACCGGAAAAAGGCTCACGATCGACTGGTTTAAAGACACTCTTTCAGGTAATCCATCGATCTCTCTCTGACATTATGTGGGTTTTCTTGGTTGGATGGATTCGATTTGTGAAATTTGTGGTGGATTTGGTTGGTTGGATGGATTTGGGTGTGGATTTGTTTGTCTAATACTTCTTATTTGGGTTGAGGCTTGATTGATTGGCTTTCGTTGGCTGGATTTGGTTGTGGAGAAGTGGATTTTATGGTCTGATTTGGGTTTTCTTTCAAACCCCCAATTTATTTATTT